CCCACCTCCAGTGGAAGAGCGTTAAACGAAGTGACGATGTGGTCGGCGGCGGTGGAGATGCCCACCAAGGCGGCCGTCTTCTCGGGACGCGCAATGGCCGCCAGCAGCATGAGCCAGCCTCCGATACTGGAGCCCACGAGTATCTACAAGGAAATAAAAACGCGGTTGACTACATGATGCAACAATCATCACTTGTACCTAATGGTGTGTCCTTTGACGGTACGGGACATGTTGCAGACAATTTCAAGTTTGAGCCAATGCGGTTACACAGTGACACCTTGTGGCGAGACGGTGACACAACAGGAAACGGTGAGGTTGCATTTAAATGAAAAATCCCGCTCTTTGGTATCTTACAATTTTCCTTTTTTAACTTGAGTTTCGAGCAAGCGGCTTTGTTTTTGCAATGTGTGGGCTTTCTTACACATTAAAAAAAAAAAAAAAACGGTTCACAATCATTCTGTGTAGACCTCACTTTGAGAATGTGAAGCACTTCTCACCTGTGGGCCCTCTGCAAATTCATCCAGCATAAAAAGGACATCTTTTTTCCACATGCCAATGGTCCCCTCTGCTAGGACCCCTTCTGAGGCCCCGTGTCCGGTGTAGTCAAACCTATGCGAGACCAAAAAGAACCAAATGTCCTCGAAGCTTAATGAAGACTAAATGTTGCTTTCACCCGCTGGTGGTTGGCTGACTACTGTTTAAAAAAAAAAGTGCGTGCAGACGATCAAGTTGATCAGTGTAGCCAAAATCATGATCACGGTTAAAAATCGACTAACTGTGAAGCCCGAGCTTCATACAGGCAGACTTGGCCTCTTATTTGGAGTCTTCTTTCTGAGTATGTGATGTTACACAACAGTCTCACATCATTTGACAGTGAGACTGAGAACAAGTAGAGGTTTCAACTGTGTTTTCGTAAGCTCCAGTTTGTTTCAATGTGTTGTGGCGGAGGGATAAAATGACATAAAAATGTGTCCGAAATGGGTCTTGATTGTGGTCTAAAACCCTGCGATGAAGGAGTTCACCGTATACCACACAAGGGTTCATTTTTAATGGCTCTTCTGTTAATTTGGATAAATGAAAAGCAGCTAGCAGGGGACAGTGTGAGTGAGGGTATTATCGCCGAGAAAGCACGGCAACTTCACTCGGATATCATCAAGAGGCACCCTGGAAGTTCGTCATCCATTAACCCATTAAATACCATCACAAAGGAAAATAAAATGACTTTATTATACAGTACAGTGTACAGTGTTTCTTTAATTACAATACAATTGCACATTCATTATACATAAAATAAGGTATATTTTTGTGCAGTTTTAAGGCTTATTTAGTAGAAAATTATTTTTTATGTGGACCTAGGAACGGATTATTCTCATTTTAATGGTTTCTTATGGGAAATAAATGTTCGGAATAAGAACTTTTCGCCTTACACACACTTTCTCGGAACCAATTATGTTCGTAAACTGAGGTATCACTGTATTACAATTTTCCTTTTTTAACTTGAGTTTCGAGCAAGCGGCTTTGTTTTTGCAATGTGTGGGCTTTCTTACACATTAAAAAAAAAAAAAAAACGGTTCACAATCATTCTGTGTAGACCTCACTTTGAGAATGTGAAGCACTTCTCACCTGTGGGCCCTCTGCAAATTCATCCAGCATAAAAAGGACATCTTTTTTCCACATGCCAATGGTCCCCTCTGCTAGGACCCCTTCTGAGGCCCCGTGTCCGGTGTAGTCAAACCTATGCGAGACCAAAAAGAACCAAATGTCCTAGAAGCTTAATGAAGACTAAATGTTGCTTTCACCCGCTGGTGGTTGGCTGACTACTGTTAAAAAAAAAGTGCGTGCAGACGATCAAGTTGATCAGTGTAGCCAAAATCATGATCACGGTTAAAAACCGACTAACTGTGAAGCCCGAGCTTCATACAGGCAGACTTGGCCTCTTATTTGGAGTCTTCTTTCTGACTATGTGATGTTACACAATAGTCTCACATTATTTGACAGTGAGACTGAGAACAAGTACAGAGGTTTCAACTGTGTTTTCGTACGCTCCAGTTTGTTTCAATGTGTTGTGGCGGAGGGATAAAATGACGATGATGAAGGAGTTCACCGTATACCACACAAGGGTTCATTTTTAATGGCTCACCTGAGGTACGAGTGTCCAAGTGACTGGCAGAATTCTTCCAGCGCCTCAGCTTTCTGTCCATTCATGTTAGACCCATAACCAGGCAGGAAGACCACCCCTGGACTTTTGCCTTTCACCCTCCTATAGGCGAGTTTGGGTAGATCAGGCCTGGTAGCATACTGGACTGTGGACTTGTGTCTTCGGTCTCCTGGTGGACACACAAGTGTTAGTATTGCATGTTATGTAAACATGGAGGGAACATGGTGGAAGAAAGGCAAACTCCTCAAGGTAATTTCACAGGATGAAAGCATGTTAATCGTTAATGACACTCAAATTATATCTGACTGTGATGTAATTAATTCAGTGTCGAGCACATAATGTACAGTCCAGTATTTTTAAAACGACGCAGTCTTTCAAAGCCACACCCCCCTCGTATACGTTTAAATGGCCACCCAAGCTAACATAGGCCGTCTTTACGAAGCCGAGTGGACAATTTAAGAACCGGCCAAACCTTTCGAGTGTGTGTCGGACGAAGGTACGAAGCCGCCATGGCTTAAAAAGCGAGAAAACCCTCTGCGACAAGACCTCAGCGCGACAGCTGCCATACTGGAGCGCGAGCTACTGACGAGAAAGTCTCGCGAGAAGTACCGGCGCGGTCTCGTTCACGGAAATCACTTCTGATTCGCACACAGCAACAGAGATGTAAGTACTCATAGATCCCGCCTCGAGCGGGTTGGTCCATTGCTGCTCGTACGCCATATTGAATGAGTCAGCTCTGCTGAAGACAGAATGCAAGGAAAGAAAATAGTTCATTTATTCTTGATCATTTTTTTATTCATTTGCAGTGCTGACCTGGCTGAAGACACCAGAGTAAACCAAAGCAAAAACATATATGACAAACTACATATCAGTGATAGTTACAGTTATATGTTTAGATATTATGTCATCGTACATGGTGAATAAAAGGTTCATCGCGTAAAGTAAGGGAGGAAGAATAAATTACGTACGTTTTATTATTTGTGTTTTCCAGCCTTTTGAGGCAGATAATTAAACATGGTCAAAAGTAGTGTGGACTTTGAAGACAAGAACAGGAATGAAACCTGTTGGAATGGAGAATGAAGGTGGTAGTAAGCATGGTGAGCAGAGAGCAAATGAACAAAAAATGTATACCTGTTATTCAGAAGATTAAGTATGGTCATGTTAGATCTATGTATTTTTTATAACATGGCTTACACTTAAAAACATTATATTCAAAACCCAATGTACTGTTGGCGTGCCTGTTCGAAGATAAAAACTTGAAAATTGTGGAGAGTCGTACGTAATTAATTTAAGTAATAACGCAGGTGAGTCATCCAAAAGTGGTTCAAAAAGACGTGGCTAGACTAATACAGGTATAATGATATAATAACGAGTGCTAGTAGAAGCAGGGTTAGTTAAATGACGACGGAGGTGTTTTGTTGTTGTTTTTTTAATGTGTTTAAATGGCTGCGCGTTAATTATTATGTGGAAAGAAGCTGAGCCGCTGGTGAGTTTGCGCCTGTCATGTGAAGAGTGGAACAAGACTCAGAACGTCACAGGCGGAAGGTCACCGAGCGGAGGAGCGGAGCGGAAGCTGGACTGGGGGGCAGTCCGCCATTGTGGAAGATGGCAGGGGGGGGTATTCCCGTAAAACGCTCGTCACGTTCCCGTTGACTCACTCCCCCGCTCCTCTCCGTTCGCTCCGACATCCACCTCGTTCACAGCCCAATTTATTCGTCGATAAACGGCGACGTC